GAGAAAACCGCTGCGCCCAGCGTCCAAGCTACCGTTACCGACGAGAAGAAGGGTGCTGTCGAAACCGTTGCTCCTGCTGCTGGTGTAGCTGTGGATGCTGCCCAGCCCATCGTTGTAGAGAAGACTTCGCGACCCAACTCAACAGCCGAACCAACATCAGACGACGACGACAACTTTGAGTACCCCACCAAATGGAGGCTCACTGCGATTACCGTGGCACTTTGTCTAAGTGTCTTCTGCATGGCGTTGGTAAGTTGCTTACTTCTGTAATCTCCGGTTCCACGGCTTTGGTACGCCATTGATCGACAGCGGCTACACCTGTCAAACCAACCCATGAGATCTGCACGTGAGTACGCGCTAACGCCTCTGTTTAGGATAACACAATCATCGCAACAGCTATCCCTCGCATTACAGATCAGTTCAAAGCGCTCAACGATGTAGGCTGGTATGGGTCGTCGTATCTACTGACTACATGCGCGACGCAACTCATCTACGGAAAGTTCTACACCTACTACTCCATCAAATGGGTATACCTCATCGCGCTCTTCATCTTCGAACTCGGCTCGCTTATCTGCGGTGTCGCGCCAAACTCGACTGCCCTCATCATCGGACGCGCTGTCGCTGGTGTCGGAGCAGCTGGCATCTTCTCCGGAGCCATCTTGATCATCTCGGTCACCGTACCGCTGCGCAGTCGCCCTACTTACATGGGACTCATTGGAGGCATGTATGGTATTGCGTCTGTTGCTGGCCCACTGTAAGTTGTGGAGAAGACGTTTGGATCTAAGATCGACATGGACTAATGTTTGCTTTAGCATGGGCGGAGCCTTCACAGACCATTTGACTTGGCGATGGTGCTTCTACATCAACCTTCCCTTTGGTGCCGTTACCGCTGCCTTCATCATCCCCTTTCTCAACGTCAAGCGTCGTGGCAAGAAGATCACGGCTACATGGCAACAGCAGCTTCAGAAGTTCGATCTTCCCGGGACCGCGTGTTTCTTGCCGGCTATCATCTGTTTGTTGCTGGCGCTTCAATGGGGTGGTAGCAAGTACGAGTGGAACAGCGGACGTATCATCGCGCTCTTCGTCATCTTCTTTGTCCTCATCTGTGGATTCATCACTATCCAGTGGTGGAAGCAGGAGGATGCTACCGTCCCTCCTCGTGTGTTCCTCAACCGCAATGTCTGGGGAAGCGCGTGGTTTGGTGCCATGTTGGGCGCGTCCTTCTTCCTCATCGTTTACTACCTTCCCATCTGGTTCCAGGCGATCAAGGGCGCGTCTGCAACCAAATCCGGTATCATGAACCTCCCCGCCATTCTGGGACTTGTCATCATCTCGATGCTTGCCGGTGGTGCCGTCACAGCTCTGGGCTACTACACTCCGTTCATGCTCACGTCGTCCATCCTGATGGCAATTGGTGCCGGACTTTTGTCAACGCTGGAAGTCAACAGCGGCTCGCCGCAGTGGATCGGCTACCAGTTCATCTTCGGTGCTGGTGTCGGTTTCGGTATGCAGCAGACTCTTGTAGCTGTTCAAACAGTCTTGCCGGCCGACGACATCCCCATTGGTACCGCGATCATGATGTTCACCCAGACGCTTGGCGGTGCTCTCTTCATCTCGGTCGGCCAGAACGTCTTCACCAACCAGCTCATCAAGAACCTCGCCAGCATCGTGCCCGATCTCGATGCGAGCATCGTCCTCCGTACTGGCGCAACCGAGCTCAAGAACGCCATCGACCCCGAGTACCTCGGCGGCGTACTAACGGCCTACAATCTGACTCTTACCCAGACATTCTACGTGTCGGTTGCTTGCGGTGCCATGTCGATTGTCGGCGCGGTGTTCGTAGAGTGGAAGTCGATGAAGGGCAAGCAGATCACCATGGCTGCTGCTTGAACGAGTCCCAAGACCGGGGACTTTATTTCGACCTGATGTGATGTCTTCTTGGGCGTCTAGATGCCTGTTTTGTATGATACCCTTTTCCAGCGGCATGTTAGCACCAGCATCTTGCAGCGAGCGCGGCGTTTGTCTTTTGGCATATACATTGTAATAGACGAGTGATGAATGGGAGGAGTGATAGACACGGCACTTTGCTTTTTGGCCTGATGTGCTGGCAAAGGCATGACGACTCTTCGCTCTTAGAAACCTGTAATTGAATAGATCAACACAATTGCATTAAACTCTTGGCCCGGTCGTTTCACAGCCACCAGCCACACCTCGAGGGCTTGTCGAGCCGGTCCCACCCGCCGTGACGTCAGCCCGTTTGTCGTGGTTTGACTCTTTTGGGACGTCACATGCAAGTCCCTTTCCCACCCAGAACGGCCGAGAAGAAAGTGTGTGGAGCCGGCAGCTGACATGGGCGAATCAACGCAAAGGGCGGCTGGAGAGTGGGTGCTGGATTGGTCGCGCGGGCGGTTGGTGTTCAACGTCGTCAGGCTTTAGGCTGATGCTTAGCAAGGCTTGTTTTTTGCAGGGTCAAGCCTCCCACTGGCGATCAACACTCATCCTGCGCTGCGCCCGCCTTCGATTGCGCGTTCGGCGCTTCTTTTCCCAGCCTTGCATATTCTGCTGACGCCCGCCCACGCCATGCGCCTGCAGACTGCGCTGCTCCTGCGACGATATACATTTGACATCCACTGCTAGCTGGCCTCTGCCGCGCGCCACAGTTCCGTTGCGCCGAGACGCGACAACAGCCGGCAGAGCCCGCACGACCCGACGTCTTACAGACAGAGCCACCGTCGCGCATCGCGGCCATGGCAGAGGAGAAGGAACCGAGGCCTGAAGCCGCGCAGAACGGGCATGCGCCGGTCGTGCCGGAGAAGGAGGGCGGGATGGACGGCGCTGAGAGCGAGCCCCCAAAGCCGCAGAAGACGGATACGTCCGGCAGCAAGAAGAAGGGCCCGGAAGGAGGCTTCGACGACACGCCCATACCGCGCGCGCCGCCCGGCTATACCGTCAAGTTCACCCTCCACCGCGCCAACAACCTCCCGCTCGCCGACATCAACACGCTCAGCGCCGATCCCTTCATCATGGCGCAACTGTACACCGGCCTGCCCACGCGACACAAGGAAGACCCGCCGTTGACGCTGCGAACGCCGACGATCCGCCAGAGCACCGATCCCGTGTGGGACTGCGAGTGGGTGGTCGCCAATGTACCCTCGTCCGGCTTCAACCTCAAGTGCCGCATATACGACGAAGACCCGGCAGACCACGACGACCGCCTCGGCAACGTGCACGTTACCGTTCCCTCCATAAACGAGAACTGGGGAGGCATACACGACCAGACATACCCGATCAAGAAGCGCATGGTGAGCAAGCGGGCCTATGCGCTGCGTGCCATGGCTGTGTGTTTCGGCAAGGCGCATCACATGAACGGCACGCTGAACGTGAGCGTGCAGGTGCTAGGCAGGACCGAGGATGAAAACGGGGGGCGAGCGTATACGATTGGACCGCAGTTCTGGATACGGCACTACTCGCCGCTCTTGGGACGCTTGCTCGGCCAGAAAGAGCCCAACAACGATGGCCGGGTGTCGCGCAGGAACGGCAAGCAGAAGCCCGAGAAGTACAACTTCCAGTCGAATCAGATGCAGATGCGCGGTCCGGTTCCCGAAGCCATGTACCACCGCTACGTCGAGTTCAAACCTTTCGTTAAGAGCATGTTCACCGCTAAGGGCGTGCGAGGATTCGTCTTATCCAAGGCACTGCACCACCAGCATGCGCGCGTATACAACTTCGATCACGCCACAGAGTTCAAGGTTCTGCCTGCGCCTTGCAAGGAGTTCACGCAAAAGTTCCTCGAACTAGTCCACTACGATCAGGGTGGGAGAATCTTCACCTACGTCTTGACCCTCGATGCGCTCTTCCGATTTACAGAGACTGGCAAAGAATTCGGCATCGACATGCTGAGCAAGCACACCATGCACAGCGATGTAGCAGCATACGTAGCATTCTCGGGTGAATTCTTCATCAGGAGACTAAAGCACAAGGACCGCAAGCCTCCGGATGAAGGCGGGAACAACACATCCCACCCGCCAGGCGACATCGACGGCGGACCCCCCAAGGAAAGCCCAAACAAAGACCCAGCCTACTACGAACTCGTTATCGACAACGACTCTGGCACCTACCGCCCCAATGCCAAACTCCTCCCTCAGCTCAAAGAATTCATGTCCCAGAACCTGCCTGGCCTACACATCCGCACCCTCGACTGCCAAGGCGACGCCGAGAAGATGGAAGCCATGAAGTCCGAACAGCGCGAGCGCAAGAAGAGGGAGGGCCAAGCTGTGGTCTACACTCAGATCAGCAGAAGCAGCAGTATGAGTAGTAGCGACGAAGAGGAACTGGATCGTCTAGAGAGTGAAGGTCAAATGGCGCCCAAGCATCTCAGACACCAGGTGCAACGGGAGGCCGAGGCGAGAGTCGATGCATTGAAATTCCATGCCAAGGAATACCGCCCGAGTAATAACCACGAGGGGTGGAGGGGCGATGGCCATCCCGCTAGAGCCGATGACGGGGAAGTGGACAAGATGAGGCAGGAGAACGGAGATGAACCGGTGGCATCGCACGAGAGCACACAATCTGGTGCTAAGAGCTAACCTGCATACTCGACTAACGTCTATTCCTTTTCGTCCATCTGTCATCATCACGCCTTGTACATGGTTTCCTTGATACGTTTCCCAGCATATCATCTTCTTGCACTCGAGCTTCTGCTACTTTAGTGTTTTCTTTTTTCGTTGTGCTCTCTTGAATTGCATCTTGTCCGAGTTGAAAACGCTTGCAGCTGAAGAGAGCCAGAGAGAGAGAGAGGGAGGAAACATTACATACACGGACACTCTCTCTACCCCGAGATACCCGCCATCCTATATGCCTGTAGTAGAAGAGCTTAATTTCCTGATATTATCAAATTACTTGTCATCATTGTAACGAATGCTCCCGTCTTTGTTGAACACTACGCATGAGCCCTGCCAACAGTGAAGACTCTACATTGGTTCACCCCAACCACGCGTTCCTCACACCCACTCCGGCACCTCAACCTCCGGCTTACTGACTCCAAACCTCACCGCCTTGGCATAATATTCCAACAGCGCTTCCCCTTCTTGTCTCCCCCTCTCAAACTCCTTCCTCAACCTCTCCCTCCCCTCGCCAAATAACCACACCTGTTCCCCGCCAGCACCCATCCGTTTTCTCATTCCGCGACCGTAATCGAGCGCGTGCCGGACTTCTCGGCGGTCTGTGGCCTTGGCTTTGAGTGCGATGTAGGCGGTTAGGTTGAGGAGGACGGCCAGGTCGAGAGGCGTTGTCAGGGTTGTTGGAGTGGTGGCTGCTGAGGCGGAGGAGGTAGTAGAGGTCGATGTCGAGGTGGAGCTTGATGCGGTAGACGAGGGATACTGGGGCAGATCATGGCCGGTTTCGCTTCTTAGGGCAAGGAAGACGCCGGTTGTCAAGGCGGCGTGGATGTAGGTTAGTGGGAACTTGTTTGTGGCTGTGTGCAGTTCGAGGCTGCTTTCCAGGGCGCTGGATAGTGGGGTCCAGACTTGGAGTGGGGGAGCGCGGGAGCTGTTGGTGTTGGTGTTGCTGCTGGTGCGTTTGGGCATGGAAGAGGACATGGTTTTGAGGACCCAGAGATGAGCGTTCGCCCATTGTTGGGGTGCGTTCCAGTCGGTTTGTTCAGATGCGTTGTTCAAGCTCGTTTCGAGTAGACCGGGATATGCAAAGAAGTAGTCTCTTATCGCGCGGTGGGTATAGCTTATCCTCAGGCTCTCGGTACTGGCGTGTTGATCGGGTGGTGTGGTGTCGAAGATGGTTAACATTCCTTTACACCGCTGTTGGGTGAGGGTCTGCATGTCTTCGACTCTCTTACTTATCTCGACTGCTGTCAAGGGCCGTACATCTGCGGCTAGTGTTGCTGACGTCTCGGCTGTGAAGGCAAAGGAGAAAGGCAGGATGGCCGGGCATATGTCTTGATGTGAGAGGAGGACGTGCAGTTTTCCAACTGCTTCGACGTCCTCTGGAGCCATTTTGCTGAGCATGTGGGCGAGCAGATCGTCCAGGAGATAGGGAAGCCCCTCTGCGCGATCTTTCAGGACGAGAAAATCAGAGTCGGGCTCTAGACTTTCGAAGAGAAACGTGGTGGCGAGTTTCAGCCACAGGAACACTCCTGAGCTCTTTTCAGCGAGCATCCCGACGATGTGTTCTTCCTCTTGGCCGTCCATCTTCCCTCTTAGCGAATGCAACTTTGGTTCCTCGCCGAAAGTTCTGATCAGGTATGTTTGTATATCATCTCTTGTGTATTCCTCCAGTACCATCCTAGGCTTATTCTCAAACGCCGAATAGAAGACTGGTGAGCTCCGGGCCGAAAGCAGGAACTTGACGTTGTCTCTCCGCGAAGTGCTGAACACGAGGTCCATCAACTCCTTCGGATAGTCATCCGTCTCATCCAGCCCATCGATCATGAAGAGAAACTTCTTGTTCGCATCGCCGACCAAGCTCTCAAACGCTGCTTTCAGTTCCGGAAAAGTGAACTCGTGTAGGCCACCAGCGTAGGATTGGAATGCATTCCAGCGATCGGAGAATAGGTTCTGCATAATGATCCCGTCTTCTTCCAGGGGCCCAAATATCATGTCCTGTAAGCTTTCGTAGATGATGGCTCGCAGTAGACCAATGGAACTCTTCTGCAGCTCTGTCCCATTGTTCCAAAGAAAGAACCCAGACGTGATGCCGGGTTTCTGACCAGACCACGCCTCGAGATGTGGGAACAAGAGTGGATTGCGGAAGAGATATTTCATCAGAGTGGTTTTCCCTGAGCCCGGTTTACCTGGAGCCGTTGTAAGAAGACATTCAGGGATCGAAAGACGGAATAGTAAGAGATGAAGACGCACCGGTGAGCCAATATATTTCTTCGCCCCTCGTATTAGTAAACCACTCCAGCAAACCGCCAACCTGTCTCGAGCCGTCTCCCATCACCCACTCGAACCCTAAATCGACGGAACTATCGATGCTATTCATCCTTTCGTCCATCTCCTCGAACCACAGCCTCTCGAAGATGGTAGCGCGGAAGTACACTTCCTTCTCCGCCTGGATGAGCGCATCAACCTGTTTGGAAAACTCCTCTACATCCTTCTTCTTGCTGCTTTTCCAATCATTGCTGTGGATCATATCGAGGGTTTGGTTCTGCCACTTTTCCCAATGCTTCGTATGTACGCCTTCGTCACCGCTGAACAGAGCGAGACCAGTCTCAATGGATTGATCCAGATACTGGCGCATAGCGAGCAGTAAACTCGTCTCAATGTCGCGACGAAGGGCACGGTACTTCTTCTTTGTACCTGTCACATTGGCCTTCTTCCACACCCCGTTCAATAATGCTTCGCGCGCAGTGGGCCATCGCGGGTCACCAAACTTTCCCTTCTCTTGCGCCGCGATTAGCGCGTCGATGAATGAAGCTGTCAATTCTTTGACTAGCTCAGCATGCTTTAGCAATTGCAGCGCTGCCTCGCTAAGTTTCTTGGCTGCTTTTGCGCTCTTCGCTGATTTTTCGTCGTACAGCTCTTTGAGCTCAGAATTGTCAATTAGGTCGGTCAGGCGATAGAGATTGTGTATGATATCTTGTAGGAAGGCTGCATTTTCCACGAGCGGTGTTGTCGAAGGTGAGCTAGGCTGGAAGATGGGATGGTCTTTGCGTAAAGCGTTGATGGAGAAGTCGATAGTTTGGATGAGCGCACTTGCAAGGCCGACCGCCGGTATGGGGCGCAACATACTGTGGAATTGCTTTTTCGCGGCACAGCAAAAGCCCAGTCGCGGCGTCTGAGCCTTGTGACCCTTTTGATATGCGAAGCGCATGTCTGCTGCGCCCCTAAGGCGTATGCGCACAGACCAAGTTCACTGAGGGCCTAATCCAGGGTGCGGGCGTTTCAAAGTTCAGCGCACGTCGATCTTGCCGACACCACGACCTCCCGCGGTCGTCTCAGGACCGAGGTACTAAGGTCAGACCGTATGGTGCCTTCGCTACGACGACGTCGGGTTGGAACGGTCTTACCTGCCTAGCTATGATGCCACGTTGCCGACTCGACGGCTTCAGCCTGATATTGCGTAATATCGCAGATGCGTAAGGACGCCGCGCCAGCAGTCCGAGGTTGAGAAGGCTCTGTGCTCTTCAATGGCACCAGAAGTTTGAGACTGAGCCGGACGCTTCTGACCTGGTAAAGATAGACTGGGTCTGCATGGGTTGACGTTTACTTTGCGCCTACTTCCCCCGTCCTGCCCGGCGCAGTCGTCCCTCACCACAGTGGACCGCTAATCATGACGTTCAACAAGAGTTTCACCTCTTTCTTCTGTAGTCCAGTGTGGACAAACCATCGATATAGATTTTGGCACTGCCGTTGGTGTCGTTTCTTAGATGTCTTTGCTAGAACTCACATTGTGCTAACAACATCGAATGTCACGGGGGATACCTCTGGAATCCATAACAGATCCACCTCTAAACACACAACCCTCTTGTCATCTTCCATGCTCTACTTTAGCCAATAGCGTTGGCGTCGAATCTCTCTTCTGGCATAAGCTTATGCTTTTCTACCCAAAACCGTCCGCCACGCAAACTCCTCCCTAAACCCCAACAACTCCTTCATCTTCGCATTACAAACCGGACTCCCCCTCCCCCTCAAACCGCCCAACACTTCCGTCTCAGGACAAGCCTTCCTCAACCATTCCTCACTGCTCCCTTCTTCCTCCGGCACCGTAATCTCATCATTGACCGCATTAAAAATCTGGAACCCCAACCCATCCGTCTTCAAACAACACTGCACCATATTCCCCAGATCTCGCGCATCGGTATAACTCCACGCATGCACCTTGAAATCCCGAGGCCGAGTCAAATACGCCGAGAACTTCTTGGCGTGGTTTTCAGGTTCTATAACTGCGGAGATGCGCAGGCAGTAGATGTCTACGCTGGGAAAGCGGCGGGCGAAGGAGGCGGCCGTGGTTTCCATGCAGAGTTTACTGGTGGCATAGACGTCCATGGGGCTTGTGGGACTGGTTTCTGTGAGGGGAAAGTGCGGGTAGGAGACGTTGCCTTCGGCGTAGGTGATCCCGTAGGTGGTTATGCTGGATGCGAGGATGATCTTCTTGATGCCGAGTTTGCATGCTGCCTCGATGACATTGTAGGAGCTTAGGGTGTTGATGCGGTAAGTTTCGTTGTCGGGGAGGCGCATGGGTTGGGGGATGCCTGATAGGTGGGTCGGGTTAGTCTTGTTGAGAGTTTGTTGCTGGAGTCAAGTTATCTTTCCTGATTCCCTGCTTATTTGCAGGATGTCTAGAAGTGAGATGGAAAATGATACGTACCAGCGAAATGTACGACTGCATCTGGCGTCTTGACTGGCTCCATAAAGGGTTCACTAATCTTGAAGTGGCAAGACAGACTGTTGAAGGCTTGCGCCCCATCTGTGAGATCGGCCTTTAGAGTGTGTACATTGGGGTTGTCCAGAGGCGTTGCATCCACGTTGAGTATCTCGTGGCCGAAGGTAAGCAACTTTTCAATTACATGGCGTCCTGCGACTCCAGAACCACCCGTAAATACTATTCTCTTGGTTTGTGAAGAAGCCATCACGCAAATGCGTAGGAAGGAATCTGCGAGATGGAGCTGTAAATGAGATCCGACGAAGGCGTTTATAAGTATGTAAATAAGGAACAACCAGTCGTAGAATTCATAGTGCTGATCGTCAGGTTTGTTGTTCTTGGGCGGAGCTTCCCCGCTCTAGCTTACGAAGCTCTAACCTTGTTGGCTCTCTTGAGTGCCGATGTGCATGGAGTCTTGATGGCCGAATCTAGTAATAGTGCGCGGACATGCAGTATACTAGTAGCAGAAGACCTGGGACAAACTCATACCGGTATTGGTACATTCATTCATGTCTATCATTCAAGCCTCAGCTACTCAGTGAGCTGGCGCTTTTGATCGTTATGTTCGGTCTTGCACATCAATTCCCCTCTACACAACCTGGGTGCCGTAACCCCTGATCCTGTCGGCAAATGCCCAGCTCTGGTTCTCCAGCTTCACGTTCTCATCGAGATCGACGCCTTCCTTGGTAATGACGGCAATCGAGTACTTGTCCATACTCCTGGCATCCCTGTAGAAGAGAACCTTCATGCACTCCTTGATCTTCTCTACCGCCTGCTCCCTCGTGACGTTCTCCACGGCGGCCTCATCTGGCAATATTGTCCTTAGGATTGGCTGAGCGAGATGTGCACCGAAGCCAGTGGCCAGCGATGGTGATGAAAAGGTGGTACCGAGAAGGTCTGCGCTTGCGAGGAAGGGCTTCTTGTCTCCGTCCATGCCCACGATGAGCAGGTGGTTCCACAATGGATCGAACTTTGAGCGGCGATTGTACATGACTTTGGCGAGGTAGGTGTGGAGGTTCTTGGCATTCAGCGAGTTTTCGGAGGAGGAGTAGTTCTCGCGGATGTCGAGCGAGTTGAGTAGGCGGTCCAGGTACTGCATGTCGGAAACATCGCCGCCGAAACCCACGACGACCTCGTCATTGAACTTTCGTAGGCGCTTGACGTCGGTGAAGCGAGCGAGGGAGCCGTATGAAGCTACATGTATGGTCAGCCAGACCCTCATTGCCTATAGTAGTGTGCCATACCCAGGTTGTCGGCGGCGATGACTACGCCGTCCTTGAACTTGGCCGCAAGTACTGAGGTACCCGTGACGATCGGGCTCTGGGTGTGCTGGTTGGGGCCGGCAGCGGAGAAGTGCGAAGGGTCGTAGGCGCCGTATACATCGTCTCTGGGCTACGATGCATTAGTACTGTTGCTGTTGGAGGCGGGCGGAAGACATACACGACCCCAAGCTTGTGGCAGGTGGTTCATGGTGGAAGAGGCGACTGAAATGCAGAACTGCAGAGACGGTGTTGTTCGGGATTCGGAGAGAGTGCTATGTCGCAGTGGGCTCAGAGGTGAGGTTGTTGTTGTCACGACGCTCGTCAGGCAGTCGGTGGTTGCGCAGCTCGCCCGCCAAGACATGGAGCTGGCCCAAGCTCCGCATATTGAGGTCAATCCGAGAGCATCGTCCACCAGCATTGCGCACTCACAATGCTCGGAATCGACTACCCAGACAGTGACGACGAGGACGTCGTGCCCGCGACCAAGCCAGAGGTGAGACCCGCAAATCTGTGCAGAGGGCTCGGATCGCTACTAATATAGAGTTGACCAACATTCCTGCAGCTGCCGCGCCTACCCCAGCGCCTCTCTCCGCTCCCGCGCCTCTCGAACAGCCGCCTACATCGTCGGGTCCGGTGAGCGGCCCTGCGCAAGGTCCGACAGTATCGCCACCTCCAGAGGACGATGCCAACGCGAACGAAGCCGCGCCAGGCTCACCACACACAGCTACACGTGCCCTGATTCAGAACCTTACTCTACCTACCGTACCGAACTTCGATATACCGCCTTCTCCGCCGGGATCACCACCACAGAAAGCGACGAAGAAGTTTGCGCAATTTCTAGAGCTCAAGAAGAAGGGCCAGCATTTCAACCAGCGCCTGGAAGGCTCGTCCGTGCTACGCGATCCGGGACACATGCGGAAGCTGATGGGCTTTGCGGGAATCAGCGAAGAGGACGCATATGCATCTACACTGCCACAAGATGTCGCGATACCGGCAGTCTTCCCAGAGTGGGCCTATGTCGAGGAATTGAGGGCTTCACAGAAGCGCATCGCAAAGACCAAAGAACAAGAGAAATCCAAGGCACCGAGAGAAGCTCTCGAGTTTGTGTCCGCGTCCAAGACTGGCGCGTCGAGTGGAACGGGCACGGCGTCAAGCTCTGCTACGGGAAAGCGCAAGGAATTGGAACATAGAGGAAAGGACGATCAGGGCACAAAGAGCAAAGTAGAGCGCAGGTCAAGGTCGCCGAAGAGGAGACGATCAAGGTCGAGAGAGAGAAGGTGAGGGGAGAAGATAGCGCAGACTGAGAACACTTGTAGTAATACTGTGAATGCGGCGTTCGCACAACCAAAATGAAGTACACCCCAAGACATTTGATCCAGACGCTTGCTGTGCATGCCCGCCACAGACGGTAAATGCATGCTCTCACTACATGGGCGCCAAGACACTAGCGCGCGGAAGCTCCAGGCATTCGAGCTGCGTAACTCCAGAGCTCCAGCACCAACAAACAGAAGCGTCGCAACAGCCCACCCCCCTTCCGATACCGACTGTACCTCTGCAACCCCGCCCAAATCCGCCTCTCCAAACCTCGACGATGGCTGCCCTCTACACCGGTGCACCTCCGCAAGGCGGCCCAGGCTATTCGTTCAAGCAGACCCCCACAACTGTCCCGTCAGGCGAGCGGCAACATGGCTTCTATCCGTACGCTGGCTCGCCATGCTGAACATACGCACCGCTAACACAATGCAGCTACACGGACAACGGTGGCTCAACACTGGGCATCTCCGGCGCCGACTTCGCCATCCTCGCAGGCGACACACGCTCGACTTCCGGCTACAACATCAACACACGATACGCACCCAAGCTCTTCAAGATCGGCGGCGAGGGACCAGAGAACAAGGGTGCCAGGATAGTGCTATCAGTGGTCGGTTTCGCCGCCGACGGTGATGCGCTGAAGGAGCGTCTCGACACCATCGTCAAGATGTACAAGTACCAGCACGGAAAGCCCATGACCGTCTCCGCCTGCGCACAACGACTCAGCCACATCCTCTACAACAAGCGCTTCTTCCCCTACTACGTACATGCCATCCTGGCTGGTCTGGACGA